GTCTGCTTCCCATATATAAGAAGCAGCTTTGGGAATGGTCTTTAGCTTATGGCACGGTTGAACCCTGCATGGAGCTGTGTTGTTGTTCAGCAGCCTGCCATGCTCTGCCGACCTTGGGACTTTCAATGGACTTGAATTAATGGCCTGCTATGTGGTTTGTGCCATTTTACTTGTCAACCTTGAGCTTGTCAGTCTCAGCTTCCAGCAGCTGTCTGAGTGAAGAAAAGCCTCTAGCTCCAGTGGGCTGGGAGCAGGAGGCAGAGCTGAAGCCTAAGGTTAAAGGGCTTTCACCCAGTCCCTAGACCCTGGCACTTTGAACTTGGACTTAAAGCCTCCAAACTGTAAGAAAATAAATTCTTGTTTGTTAAAGCCATCCCATTTGTGGTATATTACTGTCAGAGTGGCACTAGGTAACCAGAACAGCATCCTTGTCTGGTTCCTGTTTGCAAGGGACATGGTTTCAGTCTCTCTCCCTTGAGAATAATGTTGGCTGTTGGTTTTCCATATATGCCCTTTATTATGTTCAAGAATTTCCCTTGTATTCCTATTTTTCTGAGAGTTTTCATCAGGAATTGGTGTTGGATTTTATTAAATGCCTTTTCTACATCAATAGATATGATCATGTGGTTCTCCTCCTTTATTTTACTTATGTGATGAATTACATTGATTGTTTTTCTAATGTTGAACCATCCTTGCATAACTTGTATGAACCCCACTTGGTCATAACGTATTATTTTTTTGATATGTTGTTGGAATCTATTGGCTAAGACTTTGTAGAAGATTTTTGCATCTATATTCATGAGGGATATTGTTCTGTAGTTTTCCTTTTCAGTGATATCTTTGCCTGGTATTGGCATCAAGATTATGTTTGCTTCATCAACTGAATTTGAGAGGATTCCATCCTTTTCTATGTTCTGGAATAGTTTGAGTAAGATTGGTGTCAGTTCTCTGAATGTTTGGTAGAATTCTCCAGTGATACTGTCTGGGCCAGGAATTTTTCTTCTTGGTAATTTTTTTTTTTATAACCTGTTCATTTTGTTACAGGTCTGTTCAAATTTCCCACTTCAGTCTGTGTTAGTTGAAGTAACTAGTATGTTTTTAGAAATATGTCCATTTCTTCTAGATTTTCAAATTTATTAAGAGTACAGTTCTTCATAGTATCCTAATACTATCATTTTTATTTCAGTTGGTTCTGTTGTGATGTTGCCCACTTTGTTTCTTATTCATTTGTATTTGCTCCCTCTTTCCCTTTGTTAAATTTGCCAGTGGTTTGTCAATTTGTCAACTTTCTTTTCAAAGAACCACCATCTAGTCTTGTTGATTTTTCCTATTGTCTTTCTATTTTGTTTCACTTATTTCTGCTCAACTCTTTATTATTTCTTTTCAGCTTTTTTGCTGCTCTTTTTATAATTATTGGAAAGGTGTTGATTTTGGTTCTTTCTTCTTTTTTGATGTATGCATTTATTGCTATAAATTGTCCTCTGATCACTGCTTTTGCCGTGTCTCAAAGCTTTTTATTTTTTTAAAAACTTTTTAAAACTTTTTTTATTTTATAATTTTTTTTCCACAGACAGGAAGTAACTTTAATTAAATATTGGGAAAGTTGAAAAGTTTTTACAGCTTGAATTTTTGCAAAAAAAATTACAGCAATCTCTACAGTAGTTAGTTTCTCTAACAATTGAACTGTACTCAGTGTGTCTATTCAAAAAGGTTTCATCAGTAGTTGAAAGGTTAGTAGATTTAGAGATGAAATTTTTAAGCTGCATCCTAGTACAATGCCAGGGCTTGTTAGCAATCTAGTCGTCCAGAAGGTTTTTTTTTCTCCAACACTGAAATCTTAATTCAAGTCCCTATTTCATTTTTTTTCTTAAAGCCATATTCTGTATTTAGGGGAACATATTTTATCTTGTAAAAGAAGTTTGTGTAGAAGAAAGAAGGGTAGAGGGCCAGATCTTTTCTTCTAATCAATATAGATAGAAGAAACAAAGCACAAATCATACACATTTTAAAGGCTTTTTGGGCTTTCAAGAAAACGTCTAACCACTGCACATGGCTGACAGATGGGTGACGTCTGTTGTCAAGGTCTGAGCCGGACACCTCACTGGCTGACTATTCCTTCACAAACAGTTAAGGGGCTCACCAGACAAAATATGGCTTTAAATTGTATACATCTGTAAGCCAGTGCTTACCATTTGAATTCAGACAACCTTTATGAACACTGAGAAGCAAAGCATCCATGTTGCTTACATTTTCCAGTGTATTATTATTATTACTAATCATTATTATTATCTCTCATCATGAAAAATCAGCTTTCCTCCCCTCCCTTCCCTCCCTCAACTCCCCTCTCCCACCCACCCTGACCCATAAAAATCTCACTCTGACAGTCTGGTGAAAACCATTGCAAAATCCATATGGGAGCATGCACAGTTGCAGCATTGTTGTAAATGATTTCTTGCTCTGCTAGAAAAAGTTACCTTGTCTTAAAGTAACAAAACAGTTCTTTTGTGCTTTTCAATTTTTTTTTCTTTTCTTTTTGTTTTTCTTAGAATGTTAGTGATGACTGACAGTTCTGGTGCACAGTTAAAATGTACAAGTGAAATGAATATGATTTGCATTGTTAAGGCATCCAATTTGCTGGTTTATATTTATGTGAAAGACAGAGGAAATATACAAGCAGACTTAAGAAAAAAAGTATGTTCATTGATTTCTATGAAGTTTCTCTCCCAAATTTAATGCACAAATGAGTCACTCCAAAGGAGAGATTCCATGCATATTAATAGAGTGAAACAGCATTAGTTTTTTTTTTTTTCTTGCAAGTTACCAAAGCAAAGGATACTTTTTTTTTTTTTTTAATCTACAGAACTAAATGCTACAAGAATAATATGGTACTATTTTATTTATTTATTTATTTTGCCATATGTTGGGGTGGGGGGACACCTTCTTAACTTACAAACAATACAAAAACAGTCAATGGCTTTTGGGTGGAAATAAAAAAAAAATTGAAGCATGGTTTAAAACAATACTAAAAATAACTATAAATGAAATATTTTAAAATCACATTGAAACAGCTAATACAACTGTAAGTGACCAAACAGATATGCATTTTTCACGTAGCAAACATATACAATAAAATAAACTGGGGGTGGGAGGGGAGCAAAGAGGGAAAAAGCAATGTACAAATTCTGAAGATAAATACATTATCTATTTATTTATTTATTTATTTTTAAGATCTATTCATTTATGTTTTTTTTTTTTCTTTTTATTGTGATTTGGGTGAAAATTCACAGAGCAAATACACTTTCTATACAGCAGTTCACATACACTTTGTCTCATGACATTGATCACAATTTACCACAATGCAACATATCCCCTCCCACTTCCTCCCGATAGTTACCTCTTCCCTGTGTCCATCACTCCATGCACTCCTACCCCCTGAGCTGTCTCCCTGAGCATAAGCAGCCCTTCTTTCTCTCATGTTTAAAATACATTATTTTTATGGATATTTTACAAAATCCCCTTTAAAACAAAAAGCCTTTTGATTAATGTTGCAAGTATGTGCAAGCTAAAGGTAGTGAGCTATATATATATATTTTTTTTTTTTGCAAACTATGCAGTAAAATCTTTTTGTGACATTTAACAATTATCTTAAGACATTAAAATGTATAAATAGAACAACAACGTTGGCAAAAAATCTCAAAAGATCTACAGTATTTATAACTAAATACAAAAACACAACAGCAAAGAAAAAATATTGGGTAAATGTATCCTCAGAGTTTTGCTGCATCTTCGTTATTAATTTTTAAGAACACTTCCCAGATAACAAAAGCAAAAATTTCCATAGAACAGAAAACTAAGTTTGGAGGTCTCAACCTTCTTTTCCATTCCCCATTGCCATTTTACTCTTAATTCCAAAGCCTGTTGTTTTAATCTCTTATGTTACAAACAGTTAGGGTCAATTGGTATAGACACTCTCTTTAATGGGAAATCTGAAATAGAGGCCATGTTGCTTTTGTCAGTTATGAAGTATTGGTATGAAGTCAGCTTTTAGTGTGAGTGAACTTTGAACTTGGAGATGGCAAGGTGTAAGTGAGATTTTGGCTTGATAACTGAAGGGCATCAGGTAGAACTCTGTGCCTGGACCCTGTTTCGTGAAGTCTCAAGGGAGATTCACACACAATATATGCACCGCCACACTCTCTAGAGGCCATGGGCTTCAAAAGAAGTGGACGTAAGAGAGTGATATTGATTTAAATATGCAGTTTTAACAATCTGTCTAGAGGCACTGGACTTTTGATGGAAGGGGAAATGTGACCACTTACTTTGCTTTTTAACTTTCCAGGCTGCACGAATTTACACAGTTACTTAAGACAACATACAAAAGAGATAAATAAGCTTGCACTGCTAAGGGGTGGCATGTTAAGTGATATACTGAAAATGCACTGGCTGAGCTAACTACCATTTGATATGCTTTAAGGCACAAAAGCCGAACCTTAGTTTTCTAAAACTTTAACTGGCATTCCTATTCTGTCCCATACAAGCTCTTTTATTATTATTATTATTATTATTATTTCCTTTTGTAACTTTTTGTAAATATCTCACTTCAATCTTCCTTTACACAGCTTTAAAAAATCATAAATTAAAACATGGAGTCTTATTTATAGTGTCCCTTGCTTTATGATTTATAAAAGACCAATGACCACAGAGTTAAGCTTAAAAAAGAAAAAAAGGAAAAGAAAAAGTGGATTTGCTTTTATCACACAGAATAAATATGTCTCCCCAATACTTGGGAGGTACAACTTTAACCAACACCCTGCACTTGCAGATCCCTTCCAATTTCAGTATTTGCAAGGTCAGTGATTTTGTTTGTTTAAAAATCTGCAGTTATTATGAATCCTCTTAAAAAGGCCTGAGTTAAAAGTTCCACTCTGGAATTTATATCAGATTAATCTCTGTAGCAGAATACAACCTCTTAATTAATAAAATTCTTCAAGGAAATTCTTTCACATGGGAAGAACAATCATGCCAGATATTGCCTGCAGGCTGTTTCCATTGGTGCTGGTGCAGATGGGAGGTGGGGAAGTCTGGGGTCTGACCACTGGCGCAGCAGCACTCTTCTGTTTCACAGTGGAGACTACGTTGGCTGGTGAGAAAGAGAATACCCTGGAGGAGCTGCTGCAGTTGGAGGGGAGGTTTGTGGAAGAGGCCATGGTTGGGCTGGATGGTACAATGGCGTAGGGCGAGCTGGCAGCAGAGCCATTGAGGAAGGTTGGGGAGCTACCCAAATTGGACATGGCAGCAGTGCCGTATCCATTCATGCTTGTGGTGATAGTTACAGTTGGTCTGCTGGGAGCTCTGGTAGCATAGTGCCTAAGGCACTTGACTGCTAACCAGAAGGCTGGTGGTTCAAACCCATCAGCCACTCCTCGGAAGGAAGGTTGGGCAACCTACTGCTGTAGAGATACTGCCTCGGAAACCCAAGGAGGGGTTGCTATGAGTTGGGTCCGACTCTATGGCATACAACCACAACAACAGCTGGGGGGTAATGCTTAACACATACCCATGTGGTAACACATTGCTTGAGTTGTGAGTGACACCCTGATTGGTGGCTTGTGATGCCTCAGAGACATTCATGGCCAGTTGCCCACTGACAGAGTTCACACCCATCATTCCTGCATGGACTGAGGTGTTAGCAAGGGCTGGGAGTTGGTTGTGGTTGTGATTGTGGGGGACACTGTACAGGACCTCTGTGATGTCTGCTGCTCTCTTCAGAATTATTTCCGGGTTGTTGTGTGGCATCCCATACAGCGTTTTCACCAGGTCTGCAGCCCTTTTGAGTATTACTTCCTTTGGCAAAGGCTTAGGGTCACCAGGGTGCTGGGGAATGACCTCCTGTAACCCCTAGAAACCATAATGGATGGTGGGTTCATTGAGCATTGTGTAAATGAATCTTTCTGGAGTCCCTTTGCAGAACGGTTTGGATTTGTAGGACAATGTAACTTCTACCACACCAGGGATGTGCTGAGGAGGCGTCTGCACATGGATGGCATGAGGAGTTATCAGCTCACTGCAGACCAGCATGGTACTGAATATGACCTGTAACCCATCAAAGAAACTGTCCCCCATGATGATCACAGTCGCACCTCCCATCGTCCATCTTTCACTTGGGCTGATGGCTTTGATACAGGGAGCAGCATGTTCCAGATAAAAGGGCATACCTTCCAAGGGGTCAAGCCTCCGAGCCCTCTGCCCATGCTTGGAGTTATTATGGACAAACATATTTTCAGAGACTGCCAGGACATGGTCTTCCACGTTGACTGTTGTAGACACCACAACCTGGAATCTCTGCATGTCATGGAGATTTCCTGCATTCTTTAGGCAATTTTGGTTACATCTGAGGAAAAATTTCAAGAACTGTTAATAGAAGATATTGTGCTCTTTCACTCCGAGGGGCTGAAACTTTGCATGTTGTTGTTGATCGTCCTTGAATTGATTCCAACTCATGGCAGCCCCATGTTTGCAGAGTAGAACTGCTCAATAGAACTACTTCAAGGCTGTGACTGTCCCAAAGATTTTTGCATGTTGTGTTTTCATTCTTATTTGATTCAAGGAATTTTTTAATTCCATTATTTAATTTTTCTATTACACAGTTGTTTTTAAGGAGGGTGTTATTCATTTTCCATGTGTTTACTCTTTTTCTGTTGATCTTCCTATTGTTGATATCTAAACTTCCAAAATTGTCCTAGGGTTTTGTCAGTGTTTTCCTTAATTTTGTTAGTGTTTTTCTTGATCTGTTTTTCAATCTGTTGAAAGTACCTAAATATAATTTTTTTTTAAAATTCCTTATCAGGTAGTTCCAATGCTGCTGCTTCCTCTGGGATGTTTTCTGGGTCTGTATCCTGGTCCCTTGTTTCTATTACTTTTTCTTGCTTTTTTGTGTAGACTGTTATGGTCTGCTGTCTCTGAGACATTGTGATGCTGTATTTATATTTAATTGGTGATTGTATGTTGGTGTGATTTACCCAATATTTTTTTCTTTGCTTTGTTTTGATATATTTGAGTAAGCAGGGTACTGTGCTCCTCTATTCATTAGTTGGTAGCACTTATGTACTCACTACCTATCTCCTGGTGGGTGTGATAGAAACTGAGAGTGGGTGCACAGATCTCTGTTAGCTGTTTGTGAAGAGCAATTAATGGTGAGTTGGGCTCATATTGGCTGTTGTCTATTGTTAGCCAGTAGTTGTAGAAACAAGTGGTGTCCCTTCATCAGTATGTGGGACTGCAGGAGGTGTGGGTATGTTTGGGTCATATGAGCACAGTTGGTGTCTCCTACTCAGTTAGAGAAAAACAATAATCAAAAAACAGACAACATAGGAACAATAACCCCCCCCCAAAAAAAAGAAAGAAAGAAAAAAGGAAAGGCAATAAATGAGAAGAAATATTTTAAAAAGAAATATAAATAGGAAGAGAGCTGAAGCCCACCCCCCCACCACCACCACCAATATTTGGGGAGGGGGGAATAAGAAAAAAGAGCTAGAGTATAAGAATAATAAAGAAAAAAATGAGAAAAATGCAAAAAGCAAAGCAAGGAATGGGAAGGACCAAAAGAAAGAAAAAAGATGGGAACCAGGGAAAGGGAAGAGAAAAAAACAAAAACTGGAACCTGGGAAGGGATAAAGAAATAATTGGAAAAAGCTCAGGGCTCCAGGATTATCCTCTCTATCTATGCCCATTTGTTTCTCTTTTCTTTGTTGAAGAATGGTCTGTGTAAATAGTCTGTCTATTCTGCCACCTTACCAGAAATCCTCCAGTTCTTACAGTTTGAGAAATGCTGAGTGTGTTCTTCCCTTTTGGTTTTCTAACTCCAGGTCTTTGCACATTTCATTATAATAATTGACTTTGTCTTCTCGAGCTGTTCTTTGAAATCTTCTGTTCAGCTCTTTTATCTTGTCATTTCCTCCATCTGCTTTAGCTACTCTCTTTTCAATAGCAAGTTTCAGAGTGTCTTCCAGCATCCATTTTGGTCTTTTCTTCCTTTCCTGTCTTTTTAATGACTTATTGTTTTCTTCACCTATGATATTGTTCAGGTCAACCCACAACTTATCAGTTTTTGGTTATTGGTGTTCAATGTATCAATCTATTCCTAAGATAGTCTCTAAATTCAGGTTTATATAATCAGGGCCATATTTTGGCTCTTGTGGACTTGTTTTAATTGTCTTCAGCTTCAACTTGAACTTGCATATGAGTATTGATGGTCTATCCCACAGTTAGCTCCTGGCCTTGTTTTGGCTGAAGATATTAAGCTTCTCTATTGCCTCTTTCCACAGATATAGTTGGTCTGATTTCTGTGTATTCCATCTGATGAGGTCCATGTGTATAGTCATGGTTTATGTTGTTGAAAAAAGATATTTTCAATGAATAAGACCCTGGTCTTGCAAAATTCTGTCAGGCAATCTTCAGTGTCATTTCTGTCACCAAGGCCATACTTTCCAACTACTGGTGATTCTTCTTTGTTTCCAACTTTTGCATTCCAATCACCAGTAGATCTTGATTGTATGTTTGGTCAATTTCAGATATTTGGTCAATTTCAGACTGCAGAAGTTGGTAAAAATCTTCCATTTCCTTCTATTTGGCTTTGGTGGTTGGTGCACAAATTTGAATAATAGTATTAATTGGTCTTCCTTGGAGAGGTATGGATATTATCCTATCGCTGACAGCATTGTACATCAGGACAGATCTTTAACATTCTCTGTGATGGCAAATGTGACACTATTCCTCTTCATTTTGTCATTCCTGGCATAGTATATCATATAATAATTGTGTGATTCAAAATTGCCAATACCAGTCCACTTCAGCTCATCAATGCCTATGATAGTGATCTTTATGCACTCTATTTCATTTTTGACAACTTCTAATTGTCCTACATTCATTCTTCATACATTGCTAAACTTAGTTATCTTTCAATTGTTGATTATAAATGTGCTTTATATATTGTGGATACAATGCCCTTATCACATACATAATTTTTATGTATTTTTCTCCCATTCTGTGGTTGTCTTTTCACTTTCTTGATGGTGTCCTTTGAAGTACAAAATTTTTTAATTTTGCTGAAGCCCAATTTTTCTTTTTTCACTTATGCTTTTGGTGTTGTATCTAGAAAACCTTTGCTTAATCTGAGGTCACAAAGACTTACTCCCATATTTCTGCTAAGAATTTAATCATTTTTGCCCTTATATTTAGGTTTATTATCCATTTTAAGTTAATTTTATGTATGGTGTAAGATAAGTTTCCTTAGTTTGCATGTGGATATCCAGTTGTTCTAGCCCTACTTATTGAAAGATCATGAAACACTTTTGTCAAGAAAATAACTTTTCAAACATGTAAGTGAATAACTTTATAATTTCATAAAATCGTAAGACATTATCTTTAGAATCCTGCTTAGAGATAATTTAATCAAATATCAAACAAGTCAATTGATTTTCCCAGGGTCCCTCCACAATTCTGCCCCTAGTTAATGCACCTAGGAACTGTACCAATCTGGAAATTGTAAAGCGGGTCAAAATTGCCTTTTCCTTTTTCTACCCACATATTTATATTTTCACTCAGAGACTGGAATGCAATTCTTAATAACTAGTGAGTGTGACGGGCTCTGAAATGGGAGCTTTATGGGTAACTATTTGTAAAACAATTAATTTGAGAAAATGAAGTTCTGTGGGGAAAGATTGGGCCAGAGAAGCTCTAGAGTTAATGCAAGAAGGAGGTTGTAATGTTTTAAATCCTTCTTTTGTATAGAGTCCTAGAGAATCAGTGGGTGAAAGACTCCAATCCAGTATAGGAAAGTTATCTTAGATTAAGCTTATAGACCAAGGGTCAGTGGGCAGATGAGTTCCATCCATCACTAAACTTGCTTCTTGCAATAGATTCTTTCATTAGTTCACTCAACTGCCATTCTTACTTTCCTTTAGTAGGTTTCCTGTATATCAAATGCTAAGAAAGTAAAAATTCCCACTTACTAGAGCCAGAGTTTTGGATGTGACTTAGATTCTGTTTAGTAGTTGACTGACATGAGTCTGGAAGGAAGATCTGGCCATGCACAGGGACTGTGAAGTTCTTTATAAGCAATGTGATAAACTCAATACATCTCCTGGGGCAGCTCAGGTAAGCGTCTGAAGTCTAAATCCTAACAACTTAAGTACTGAGCAGTGGGGTTTCCACTGTAAGAGTTCCAAGTATGGTTATTGTGGTAGTTGAAATAGTCTCCATAACTATGAAAGAATACATTTCTGTTGTTATAAACCACCCACTTGGTTGCCATTTGTTACAATGGCTGTGGTAGTTCGGTTTGTGTGTCAACTTGGCTGGGCCTGGTTGAGTGGCTGGGCAGCTGGTGGTAGTTATTCCCCATGATGAGACTGGTGATCAACTCCATGGTGGAATCTACTGTGAGCAGCTGAGTAGCTGCCTTCAGGATATGGTCTGCCTCCTGTAAATAAGGAGAAGCCTTGGAGGAATGGTCTCTAGCTTATGGCACACTTGAATCCTGCATGTAGCCAAGTCGTTGTTCAGTAGCCTGCCATGCTTTGCTGATATTAGCACTTTTAATGTACTTGAATTAATGGCCTGCTGTGTGGTTTGGTAATATCAGGACTGTATCTTTTTACTTGTCAACCTTGGGCTTGTCAGTCTCAGCAGCCAGCAGCTGTTTGAGTGAAAAAAAGCTTCTAGCTTCAGTGGGCTGGGAGCAGGAGGCAGAGCTGAAGTCTAAGGTTGAGGGGCTTTCACTCAGCCCCTAGAGCCTGACACTTTGAACTTGGACTTAAAGCTTCCAAACTGTAAGAGAATCAACTCCTGTTTGTTAAAGCCATCCAATTTGTGGTATATTTCTGTCAGAGCAGCACTAGGTAACCAAAACAGTACCAATCATATCTTGTTCCATGGATCTCCCTGAGATTTTGTAAGCTTCATAGTACCTTGTGATATATTGTTTTCTTCTCACACTAACTACAGTTTATTCTTTTATTGTCACTATGAGTCTTTTATCCACGAATATAGCCAGTGATCTGATCAACAATGGTAGAAGCATGGGCACATTTTTTTTTTGTAGGCCATCTTCAAGTCTAGATAAATAGCTCTTCTTGGATGAGTAAATCTAAAAGGGAAAAACGAATATGGTGCCAATCAGAACAGGAGATTAAAAATAGTTGAAAGAAACAACAACCCTGAAGACTTAGAGGACGATGAAGAGATCTGAAAATGATATACTACAGAAACCAGAACAAATTATTTTGTAAACAGCTTTCCATTCTTGGTAGAACACAAGAAGTCAGGACCTCAGTGAGACAAATTCAAACTGAAATCTCAGAAAAGGCTATGATGAAAGAGAAAAGATGATGGGAATTAGAAACGGACAGCTGAGCCAAAAGAAGCCACTGAGATAAACTGGTTTAGTGAGGTAAAGAAGGATCCTAAGAAAACTAAAATTGCAATAAGGTAAATATTCTTTGCAGGAGATAAAAATCACAATTTCAGATTTGATGAAACACAACATTTGGTGTGCTAAAAATATAAAATAGATAAACTCTAGACAAATTAAGAAAACAAATTTTTAAAATGAACAAATGTGAAAATGAGAAAAGGGATAACATAGATAAACTTCTGGCAAATAGAATCAAGAAATATTAGCAACAAAGAAATCAGAAATTTCAAAGAAAAACAGAGTCAGAGGAGGAAACTTACATAGTGGGAGATTTAAGAGACATATCAATTGATTGTAAAGTATGGACTTGCTTTGGATTTTGACTCAAATTATCAACAAATATAACTGGGAAAACATGAGCACTGAATGGCTATTTGATATTAAGAACTTATTGTTAATGTTTTAAAAAATAGAGATATTTTCAGTATTTTGAGATTCCCTATACTTTAGCAGTATATGCCGAAATACTTATAAAATTATGGTGGTGAAATTTGT